GAAGTTGTTTTTTCTCAACTCGTATTCTCGCACCTGAAACGTTGGTTCTTGGTCATTATTTTGTTCCTGACTGCAATCAGAATTAAAACTCCTGCCCACTGCTACCAGACCCCCCAATTTGCTCTCACAAGCTATTCAGTCTTTATCCCAAAAATTTTACCTCCCCAGCTTGCTCCTAAATCCCAGCAGCAAAGACAGAACCCCAAAAGAGAACATCTGCTGCACCAGTGAGTTCTTAAATAAGGATGAAACAGCACCCAGATAAACAGTGTGAACACTTCATCCCGTGGATCTGAGCTGTACCTAAATCAGGTGCAATATTTCAGAGCACACACCCCCCTTCCTTCAGTCAGAATGGAAAAATTCTGTTCCTTCACAAACCAAGGATCCAGCCCAAAATCCTCACCTTCAACCCCTTCTCCAGAATCTCCTCTGCTTTGGCCCCGCGAACCGTGCAGTGAACGGCGATTTTCTCGTTTCTCCTGATCCCAAAGGATCTCACCGTGTATCGGGCTGTAGGCAGCAACAGTTACACTGAGAGGACAGCCAGAGAATTCCCACCCGGGGGATTCCGAGCTTCTCAACACCCAGGAAACTCAAGGGAATTAAAAAGAACGGAGGCATCTCCACATTCCGTCTTAAGGAATGTTGGCAGAGCAGCAGCCCGAGTCTGGAGACAAAACTGAAATGGCACAAACATGCACAAGTCCCTGAATATTGAAGCCCCTCAGTTCTACATCAGTTCTCGCGACAGCGGCTCTGCCAAGGAGCCCTTTCCTGGAAACCGCGCTGGGAAAAGAAGGAAAACAACCGAGAAAACAAACATGGCTCCTCCGCAGCCCCTCACCTTTGGAGAAGACAGGGGTCTGCCCCGTGAGCTGCTCCAGCACTTTGGCGGCGCGGGTGAGCCGATCCCCGCTCTCCCCGACGCAGATGTTGAGGCAGAGTTTGCGGATCCGCAGCTCCCGCATCGGGTTCTCCTTCTCACCTTGGTCTTGCTGCGGAGAGACGACACCGGGTGTAACCGGGAGTGCCACGGCCCTCCACTCGCCCCGGCAGCCCCAGGACGCTTCGCCAGGGCTCCGGAGAAAGGTTTCCACAGCCGGACACCGCGCACCGCTCCCCGCCGAGCCCGAACCCCGGCACCGCGGCCCCTTCTCGAGCACCGCCGCCACCGGGCGGGCCGCGGCCTGTCATGGCAGCCGCTCCCCCACCGCCTCCTCCGCCCCCATCCCGCCCCCGCGCCTCTCCCGCCGGCCTTCCCCGCTCCCGCCCGCACGGGCCGCGACCGGGCGAGCCCCGGCGAGCGCGGATGGCGGCGGATAGAGACGGCCCGGCCTAGCTCCGGCCCGCGGGTCCTGCACTCACCGCCATGATGGAGGCGGGGAAGAGGCGGGATGGGCGCGGCCGCGGGGGGTTATGGGAGCGCGCGGCGCCCCCTGGCGGGCGGAGGGCGGCGTTGCCGTGGCAACCGCGGGTCTGTCATGGCTCCCTGCGTTAATTAATGCTCGTAATTGAAAACAAAGGCATGTACGGTAATGACGGTACGTATTAGTAGTAATGACAATTAACTGAGAGAGGAATAACCAACCCAAACGTGCGACGTCCAATGAAGGTGTTCACCATACTCTGGTTGATGCCAGACCCCAGTTTCTATACTGGGAACGAATTTTCATGTGTGAGAAACAAAGCTCACTCTTTAAGATTTTTAGAAATTTAATAAGGGATAAAAGGGACAGTTTCGAGCGCTGGGGTGCTTTGGTAAACTTCCAAAAGCACACCATTAACTATAATAACTCTTCTTATATATTCTCTCATTGCATTGCATATTAATGAATATTCTATATATTCAATCATTCCTTTAAGTTTACATGCTCTGAATATTCTTTATCTTAGTTCGACCCTTGACCTCGTCTTAGAGTGCATGCCACAATGCAGATGTGATTTGGGAGTCTTTTATTTCCTCACAAGGCCACCTGCTCTGTGATTTGATTGTTATTGATAATTGAGGGCCAGTGGTGGATTCTTCAGTGTTATTTGTCTGGTTCTTTTCAATGTTATCATACAGCCATTTTTTCAACTACTTTTGATCAACATTAGCAATTTCACTATTGTCAGTTAGTTACAAAAGTGAAAGCATTTAATATTACACAGTCCCTATTTTAATATTATTCAAAGGCCTAAGCTATAATATATTTATCACATTACTATTTACATTAGCTATGTGGTACATACAAAAGCTGACAGATTATACTATATCAAAAAGCAGTTAAAAGGGATTACAAATTGTACTGTATCAAAATCCTTATGATTAATAATAATTCATTGGCTGTTCTCACCCAAACCAAAATCCCCAGCAGCTGCTTTGGTGGGAGATGCTGTACCAGATGTTGGAGCTGCTCTCAGTGTAGTTATCAGAGCCTCTCACACCCTCAGAGCCCCAAACCCCTTGAAGCAGACCTGGGAACACAATCCAGTTTCACTTCACTCTTTGAGGAAAGGGTTTCAGGAGCTCTGTCTGGGATCTGGATCCTCTTTTGGTACCCTTGGGGAGGATGGCAGCCCATTCACTCCCTGCTGCACTCAGGGGGGAGCAGAACTCCCCAGCTTCTCTGGGAAGGGGGCAGCCCAAACTCACACCACTTTGGAGTCTAAACTTCTCTTCAGTGGCCACATCCTGAGCAGAAAATGCCTTCAAAGAGGCTCTCAGCAAGAATGGCAGCAGCTCAAGGCTCTCCCTCTTTATCCCTTTCCCTGCCTCCCCAGAGCCCTGCTCAGGGCTGCCAGCCCGAGCTCTGTAATGCCATCAATTATTTTTTGCCTCAGTTGCTTCTAAGCGGGGATGAAGGCTAAATGAATAATCAGCTTGTCTCATTAAGGAGAGGAAAAAAGCCTCAGGAGTCTCCTTGCAGAGGGTGTGAAAAGCCTCTGGTTAAAAAGTAACATTGCTGCTTCATTATGGATTTACTTCATCCCAGAACAAGCTTTGCTGGAAATAGCTGCAGGCTGGGCTGGCTTCCAGCTTCAGCAATCCATGGATCCCGTTTGGGATCTGTCCATGCTGCAGGGCTCCTCCTTCCCCTCGGGCTCAGGGCACTGCAGCCACTGGGTGCCAAGGGGAGCAGTTTGGGACCTGGAGCTGGACAGGGGTGGCTGAAGGTGCTGCCCATCCCCCTGTGCCCCCTCCCAAGCCCGTGGCTCTCTCTCCACAGCAGGGCCCTCCTTTGCCCAGTCCTGGATGGACAGTCCAAAGGCTGTGTCCAGGCCAGGCAAAGAGGCTGAAGGGCTGCAGAGAGGGAGAAGGAGCTGCCCCAGCCACTCTGGGGATCCTGAGGGACAAGAGCAGAGTTCAGTGGTGTCACCTTTCCCTTTATCTCCATGTAGTGACCATCCCACTGCTGCCACTTGATGGCATCAGCTCATCCATCCTCTGCTCCTGACTCCTGCCAGCAGCAGAAGAGCTTTGCTCAACTCCAGACACGAAGAATCAGAGAATCATGGAGTGGTTTGTGTTGGAAGGGACCTGAAAGCTCATCCTGTTCCACCCCAGCCATGGCAGGGACACCTTCCACTGTCCCAGGCTGCTCCAAGCCCTGTCCAACCTGGCCTTGGACACTGCCAGGGATCCAGGGGCAGCCACAGCTGCTCTGGGCACCCTGGGCCAGGGTCTGCCCACCCTGACAGGGAAGAATTGTCAGACTCTGTCTTTTTGGAGAGACATTTCCTACCTTGGCATTTCTCTGCTGAATTCAGGACACTTTTCCTGCCTGGCAAAGAGCTTCTCACTCACCCACTCCCTCGACCCTCTCCCCATCTCCAAATGCATCCAGATGGGTCCCATGTGGAGCTCTTCCTGCTTTGAGTCATCCCTGTCCCCAAAATAGTCCAGAGCTCCGGTTTGCCAGGTGCTACAACACATTTTCTTTGGGAGAGGGGGTGGGCTTGGTGTCATTTTTGATTCAGTGCAAAGAAAAGAATCCATTGCTGACAGCAGGTTTGTTTTTTATCCAGGGATGTGCTGTTGGTTTCTGTCTGGCCCCAAGTTACCTGGCTGATGAGAAGTCCAGCTGCAGTGGGAGCAATAATCCTTGCCACTATGCCAAAGGTATTTGTGATTCCCAGCAGGATCTGGGGAGAGAGAGAGAGAGCAAAGATTTCCTGAGTGAGGCAGGGAGGAAACTGTCACCAGGAGGGAGAGGAGTGGGTGCTTCCTGTCTCTTCCCTCAGTGCAGGAATACTGCCTGGAGTGCTGAGAAACATTAGGATAGTCCCTGCAAGAGTGGGGGGGATTTTAAGCCTTTATTTCACCCCTCAATTTCCAATACCAGCAGCTACAGAAGAAAAAGGGAGAGCAGGAATTGCAGAGGCCTTGTGGGACTGGGAAAGGGAAGGATGCAGAGCCAGGGAAGGCACAAATGTGCAATATCCACGTGGTTGATATCGATGCCTGCGCCTGGCATGCTGATTATTGTCAAGGCCAGCATGAGAAGGGCCACAATGACTGTGGGACTGCAGCCAAGGCACGGCACGGCCACCAGGAAGGTGGCTGGGAGCAGCTTCCCTTGGGAGGAAATGGGAAATGCTTTACAACAGGCCACGCAAGTGTGTTGGAAAGGTTGGGTGGCAAATGAAGGCTTATCCTTAGTCGGTGCTGAGAAGAATTTCCTGACGGCTGCTGTGCCAAGCACCCGCCTCTGCAGGGGGAAATCAGCCAGGATGTGCCCCAGCCCATGCCCAACGCCCGGCAGGGCAGAGAGGATGCAGTGCCACGTGGACAACACGCAGGCAGCGGCCTCGTGGATTTCCTGGGGCGGGGAGCGGGATTGCCGCAGGATTTGGGATTTCTGGGTGGGATCGGGAACGGCGGGGCTCGAACCTGCGACCCCAGAGGGGAGGGCCCCGCTGTTAGGCCACGCCCCCACTGAATCCACGCCCCCGATCTGGTCCCCCCCCGGCCCCGCCCCTCCCGTTGCCGCCGGCGGGTCATGTGACGGAACAAGATGGCGGCGCTCAGGGTGGCGGTGCCGGTGCTGGCGCTGCTGGGGCTGTGCCTGGGCCCCGCGGCCGCCGTCACTCCCCTGGTGATCTGGCACGGCATGGGTGAGCCGGGACCCTCCGCCAGCGCCCGCGGGGGCGGCGGGGCTTGGCTGGGGGCCGAGCAGGACCGAGGGGCGCTCGCTCCAGTGTCCCCCTCCTCCGGACCGCCGCTATCCGCGGGGCCGGGAGGTGCTGACCCTCCTCGGCCGGTAACTCCCGGTCCCGTGGTGTTTTTGTGGAGGTGAGGTGAGGGCCGGGGCCGTGGCGTGGTGATGCATCCCGGTGTTCTCTCTGGCAGGAGACAGCTGCTGCAATCCGATGAGCATGGGCTACATCCAAAAACTGGTGGAGAAAAAAATCCCGGGGATTTACGTCCTGTCGCTCAAGATTGGGAGCAACATGATCCAGGTAAGCCGGATGTCACTCGGGTGTCTGCGTGCAGGGGTGGGGCTGAAGTTACTGCAGTCCGTGGTTTTAACAGGATTCCACAAAGATTCCTGCTGTGCTTTCCCTGCTAATTTTCTCTCCTCAGTGAGGTAAACAGTTTTGGCAGGTAAAACCCGATAAAGTCCAGCTAATACCTGCAGAAAAGCACTGGGGGAAAACAAATCCCTGACCTAAATTGGATTAATATGCAAATCCAGTGATTAGCACACTCTAACCACTGCAGGTAATACGTGGGATGGGTGCTGTGCTGAGGCAGAGCCTTATCCCTGGCCATGCTTCTTGATTTGCAAACATTTATTTACTTCAGTGTAATAAATTACACACTTCTGCACCTTCATGGTTTTTAACAGTTTTTTGTAGTCCTATGGAATTGCTTTAAATAATTTCTCAGGACAGTGTGGAGTGTAGGTGGTTTTCTGGGTTGTGGAGAGATTTGAGTTTTAATTTTTATATATGTATATATATGAACAAAATCTGAAGAGATTCAAGTTGTGAAGAAGTTTGAGGAAATGTCACTGTGCCATATGAGACAGTTTTGCCAACCAGAGCAGGACGTGGTAAAGGGAAGTCTCAGAACTGGAATTTCACTTCTGTTCCTGTAAAAGCTCAGGTCCTCTTTCAAAACCACAAAAATCAGTGATCTGTATGCAGAGCTTAAAACAACACCAGCACGGCAAAGGTACAAATGATCCATCCTAATCTGATCCCTCAGGATGTGGAGAACAGCTTCTTCATGAATGTCAACGATCAGGTGAGGGAGGTGTGCAGCCAGCTGGCCACGGACCCTCACCTGCAGGGAGGCTACAACGCCATGGGCTTCTCCCAGGGAGGCCAATTCCTGTAAGTCTGTGCTCCTGCCCCAGCTCCAGGGACTCACATCCTCATTTAAGACCCTTCAGAAGTGCTCAGCAGACACAAACTGCTAAATTCCTAAAGGCAGCAGTGCTCCAAAGGGGGCAGCTTGTGTTTTCCTGCAGCCCTGCTCTTCCAGGCAGGGTTAAATCCCTTGGCAAATGTGACACAAGTGGCCAAACCCACGCAGAACCTGCACCTGTGGCCTGGCCATGCTTTGCTCAGCTCTTTCCTCTTCTCCCACAGGAGGGCTGTGGCCCAGAGGTGCCCTGCTCCTCCCATGCTCAACCTGATCTCCATCGGGGGACAGCACCAAGGTAGTGTCCCCTGCAGCTCTCACACCTCCTGGGCACCTTTTGGGGCTCTCCTAAACTCTGATCACTTTCTTATGGGTTAAATTGTCCTTTTGTTCTTGTCTGGAGCTGGTGATCTGTTTGGCCCAATTAGTGTTTGCTGATTTCATTATCTTGATCTTGCTTAACTGGCAGTGAAAAGGGATCTCTGTCATTACCTGGTTTCACTGCCTGGGTGAGATTCTTACACACCTTGGGAGCACTTGGCATGAGTTATTCTGTGGGAAATTCCTACAGATTTGTGAAACACCCTTCTGGGTCACGAGGGTATTTTACAATCAGCATCTGGAAGGACAAAGCCCCAAGGAAAGAGAGATGTGAAATGGAATTAAGGAGGTGTGGAGTTAAGAGTGGCTGGCAATGAATTTCAAATACTCTCCCCTGAGAATTCCAGCATGTTTCTTTGTAGTGGAGAGGGAAGATTTGTAGGGAGCACCCAGCACTCCCCATCCTTTATCTCTGCCACAGCTCCTGGGGCAGGAGGGCTGCCTGAGGAGCTTGCAGGGCTAAAAGCTGCCTGGGTAACTGTTGCTCCTGCTCTGCAAGAAGTGGTTCTTGCACAGCAGGAGGGATGAAGGAGGGATGAAGTGTGGCTGACTGAGCTGTGTCCCTGCCCCAGGGGTGTACGGCTTCCCACGCTGTCCTGGGGAGAGCTCCCACCTCTGTGATTGGATCCGAAAAACCCTGGATCTGGGAGCCTACACAAAGGCTGTGCAGGAGCAGTGAGTACATCCCCCAGGCCAGGCCATGGGAGCAGCTCTGGCATTCCAGGCTGAGCCTTGGTTCCTCCCCTCTCCAGCTTGGTGCAAGCAGAGTATTGGCACGACCCTCTGAAGGAGGAGGAGTACAGGAAAAACAGCATCTTCCTGGCTGACATCAATCAGGAGAGGGTAAGGACAGTGAGCACGAGAGCCTGTGAAGGTTCAGGTTGAAGAGCAGGCACTTTCCCTCTCTCTGGGCTCTCCAGTGGTTTGCATTTTGTTCTCTTACTTCCATTCAGGGCATCAATGAGACCTACAAGAAAAACCTCATGGCTCTGAAAAAGTTTGTGATGGTGAAATTCCTCAACGATACCATGGTGGATCCTCCAATCTCTGAGGTGAGGAAGCCAGGGCAGCTTTTGGGGCTTCCTTGTCTCTGGTTTGTCCTTTGGCTGGGCACAAACACAGGCCTGACACTGCCCTGCCTCCTGCTGGAAGCCTGCTTGGCTCCTGGGAGCCCTTCAGCAGCTGTTCCTTCTTTTTTTATCCATTTTTGTGCAGTGGTTTGGGTTTTACAAAAGTGGCCAAGCCAAGGAGACCATCCCACTGCAGGAGACCTCACTGTACAAGGAGGTGAGTTCTGAGGGGTGAGGGCTTCTGTTGTGTCCCCTCTTTACTGTCCCTGGGGCCCCACAACTCTGCTCTTGTCACTCCTGTGGAGCTCTTTGTTTGGGGGGATATTTCCCTCCAGCCACTCTTGGCATTGGTGAAACTCAGGGAATGACCCTGGTGGTTCCAGCCTGGCTCAGGATCCCCCTCAGTGTTTCATGAGCTCTGCTCCTGTTAAAGCCTTGCTGCAGGAGTCCCCTGAAATCCCTTTTCCCCCTCCATGAGGAGAGGAGCAAAGGTGGAATCTCCCCCTTCTCCCTGCAGGATCGCCTGGGGCTGCAGGAGATGGACAAAGCAGGGAAGTTGGTGTTCCTGGGGGTGAAGGGGGATCACCTGCACTTCTCAGAAGAGTGGTTTGACAGCAGCATCCTCCCCTTCCTGCAGTGAAGCTGCTCTGGGAGCACTGGGCAGGGTTTGTCACTGTAACTAACACCAGCCACTGTGCAACAGCACTCGGTGCATCCAAACCTGCAGGGATTTGGGGAAGGGGAACAAGAAAGGGGGTTTAGTACAGCAGGGTTTGCCAGGATGTAATTCCACTCCCATCTGGGCAGAGCTTTGCTCTGACTCTGACACACTCCAGCCTGCACAGGGCCTGGTGAATCCACCTCAGTTCTCAGAGCTGTGGCTGAGCTGGGCCCTGGGTGAGGGCAAAGCTGTGGCAGAGGTTTGTTCTCCATCCCCTGTTCCTGCAGGACACACTGGCAGTATTAACCCAACTCACTAGTGCAGGGATCAGCAAAACTCATGGTTCATGTTCCAGCCCATCCTTCAAGATGGGGGGGGAAAAGGCCAAATTTAGGGGTTTCTGGGAAAAAAAAGAGGGTTTGGAATTCAGCTTCAGTTTTAACAGCTTGAACAGTTTTCAACTAATGGCTTGGTTTGTGCTCTTTTGTACAACTGCAATCAATAAAAAACTTTCCATCTAACCAACTAAAAAAAAAAAAAAAGCTTGGACACCTACTGACTGTGTTTGCAGGGGAGCTGAGGAAATCTGGGCAAATATTCAAAGGAATCAAAGCAGGGTCAGGCAGAGAGGGGCACCTTGTCCTGCCTGAGTTCCCATGTGCCCCCAAGAAGAGACAAGAGCCACAGTAATGAGCAAGTTGGCATTAACTTTATTCTATCTTCTGTATAATCTTAAGTACATAAGAAAGGTTTTTTCACAAGCCTCAGGAGAAGACAAGTACAAGTCACAGGACAGTTTCAAAATAAAAAAAAAAATTGCATAATTTTTTTTTTTTTTTTTTTTTTTGTAAGTTTTGTACTAGAGAAAAAGAACATTGACACTTTACAGAAGAAATGCATTTAAGATATGCTTATGCCACCCGAGGCGTTGGAAAAATGAAGGTCAAAGCACGTGCAGCTCCCTTTATGGGTCAGTACAGTACTGTGTGATCCATCACTCTGCTCCAGGGCCCTGGAACAGAGGCTATGAGCTTCCACCAAAATAAAGAGCCAAGCAACAGGGGGGAAAAAAAGGGGAGGATTCAGTGGGGGCTGATTGCAGATGAGGAAGAAGAGAGAGAGTGATGAACCGACTTGATCCAACTCGGGTATTTACAACTCTGCACTACTGACCTGGAATGGAGGAGCCCTTCCTCTGGGGAAGGACACAGGTTCAGAAGAACCATCCTGGGAGACTGAACCTGAGTTCAGCTGCTCCAAGAAGGAAGCCCTGGGGCAAAGGTTCTCTTGTGAAGGTGGAGGGCTCATGGAATGAGAGGTGCTCAGCTCCAGGCTGCTGGGTGGCCGTGGTGACACCACTGCAGCCTTCCTGTGGCACTGGGGAATGAAAGCCTCCTGTCATGGCACAATCAGGAATGCACTGAGCTAGTGGGAATGATGGAAGAGAAATCAGGGTGGAATTGGCCCAGGTCCTCAGCCTTTGGTCCGACAAAAACCGTTCCCATGTCCTGTGATGCCACCAACTGCTCCAGAGAGCTTCCAGGACCTTGCCAAGACATCTGCCCTAGGAGCTGGGTACTGTGGCCTCCGACAGACACCGTCACTCGTTAAAAAGGGAACAATATTCCTCTCACATGAACAGTTTTGCTTAAAGGCAATTACAAAAACAACACTCTGAAAGCCAACTGCCAAGACTGGCTGTGAAGTTCACCGAGACTCTGATCGATTGGTGCAGTTAGATGGGACAAGGGGAGAGAAAAATAAACCTTCCTGCTGAGAGAGGTGGACAATCACTGAGCCCCAGGCAGAGGAATCTCAGTGATGGCAGGCAGCTGTGTCTCTCGGGTAGAAGAGAAGCAGTTTGAGAGCAGAAAGGTACAAGAAATCTAAGAGAATCATCTGAAAGCAGATTTGTCCCACAGCAGGGCCAGGGGAGGGCATGAACCTTGGAGCTTTTCAGCTTAGCCAGCAATTTCTGTCACAGTGGTAACCAACTTCTGACCGTTCCACACTGTCTTGAACTGTTCTGGGACAGGGAATTCAGTCTGGAGGGGAAAAACAGAAATCTGTAGTCAAAAATCAGTTTATGACTCAGATCAGTAAGCACTCCCACTGCTTCAGGCATTTCTTGTCTCATCTTTGTGCTGTTACCTCCTGTACCACCACTGGTGCCTGCTCTGCCCCCAAGAGATCCTGAGGAAGGAGCAGATCTCACAAACCTTATTTAAAGATATTTTTCTCTGGTTTTTTTTCTTTTTTAAATCAGATCATAATTCACAATCTCCAAACTCTACAAACCATCCCCCACTGTAACCAACACTTCCTGCAGGGCTCAAATCCCAGCTCCAGCATCCTGCATCCCAAAGCAGCACTTACAAAGTCCCCCCCCTCGCTGGGGATGAGGACGTTCATCTCCGAGGACTTGGCACTGACGATCTCGCAGTCGAGGGAGCTCTTGCTCAGGTACACGTGGCACCCATCTGTCTTGTTGATGGAAATTGTTGGCACTTTACCCATGACCTGGCAGGGCCAGAGCAGAATTAGGTTAAACAGGACAACCACAGCGTTTTTTGGTGTGTTTTCTTTCAAGGCAGGAGGTTTGACTGCAAGCTCTCCTCGTGACAATCACACAGGATTCAAATATTCCCAGCTTTAGCAAAAATCCAAAGTTTTTGTTTGCAATTTTTTGTGCTGATCTCTTCAGAACAAGACTTGAGCCGGCACTAGGCAAACTGACCATCTCAAATCAGATGCCCAAAGTGAACTGGAATAAATCCTACTGCTGGCCTCCTGCTTTGGCAGCCAAAATCAAACCTCACAGAGCCTCAGCTCTTACCCTGAGCCCTGAAACAACTCAAAGACACAAATTTCAGCCCTTTCCCAAGGGATAGGTGATATTTCATGGATATTCTCCATAGCTGCACATTCCTGGTCTAGAAATACAACTGCTCCAGAGCCAGGAGACAGAACAGGTCACTCACCTGAACTTTGACATCCCTGCTGTTGATGATCTCTACAATGCCCACCACGTCATCAAACACCAGCCCCAGCTTCTTGCAGTTATCTGCAAAGAAAAGCAGATCAGGGCACAAAGATTTTGGAGGCTTCAGCTCCTGCACACACAGCAGCAGGCAGAGGCAGCTTTCAGGGCTCTCCCCACTCACCGAGGGTGATGGAGTTGATCTTGCCTTTGATTTGGAGTGTACTGTTTGTGCACTTGAACACATATGCTACCTGCTTCAACTCTGTGTCACTGATGACCAGGTTAGTGGCATTCTCCTGGTTTTCCTGAAAAGGCAGGGGAAACACACTTCATTTTCTGAATGCAGAGCAATTAATCCATAAAAATCCCTTTAAAAACAGACAGGTGCCTTCAGGCTTGTGCCTCTTAGGAGAAAGGTCTCCAGAAGAGCCCCCTTTGCTTCTCCAAAGCTCCCATCCCTCCAACCCACTCCTGCCAGCACCAGGCACTCACCACTCTCCACTTTTTGCCTTCTAATTCTAGCAATGGAGGTGCCTTTGGGGAGGGATTTGCATTACAGGCTGGTTTGGGAGCAGTGAAAGGTTTGGGGCCGCTTCTCACGGGGCCCCCTTGGTTCTTCAGGGCTGGATTCTTGTGGGTTTTCATGTCATCTGAGACGTGCCTTAAGCCTGCAAGAGAAGGCAAAGCTGAGCCCCAGCTCCCCTCCAGGAATGCAGCTCCACAAACACCAGACATCAGTGGTTACACCAACCAAGATAACTCTTGTCACAACACAAATAAACTCCTGAAACTGGGGCTAAGTCGAGCCCAAGTGTGAGTGGCAGGAAGGGGAGGAGGAAGCAGGAAATGCTGGTGCAATATTGACAAGAACACAACGTGAACCACAGAACCAGAACATGCCAGCTTTTCTTCCATTCTGCAGCTGGAAAAAACCCTGCACCTCATGTCCTGATGTGCTCACCAGGTAGCACAAAAAAAGGAAAAGTGTTGGTATTTACAGCCAGAGGTTCATGAGGGTGACAGTTCTCCCCCAGGAGTGCTCGCTTTGTCCTGGCAAAGCGCTGCCCCTGGCTTCCAGCCCCAGACTGGGACCAGATGGGTTTTTATGGACTTTTTAAGCAGGTGCATGGAAGGACAGCAGGAAAACAAGGAGCAGCAGCAGGAGGAGCAGCAGCAGAGCAGTTCCCTCCCTCCCTGTGCCCCTCACGTACCCGAGGTGATCCCTTCTCCCCGGTTGATCTGGGCGAAGAGCGCCGAGCGCGAGGCTGAGTCGTCTGTGCTGGAGCTCACGGGGGCAGGAGGAGGGGGAGGCCCTGGAGGTGGGGGTGCAACCCCAGCTGGGGGAGGAGGTGGTGCTTTAGCCCCTGCTGTGGCTACAGGACCCTGGAAAAAGAGGGAAGAGGAAAGGTGCTCACACCAGCTCTGTCTGTGCCACGGTGACTGCACCAGGCTCGCCCCGGAGCTCCCTGCCAGAGGCAGCACTCACTGTTTTGCTCCAGGTCAGCCCTGTGGTGTGGTACTCTTTGATGTAGGCCTGCAGCTCTGTCCAGATGCTCAGATAAGCTTTCACCCAGTCCACTTGTTTTTTATCTCTGAGAACACAAAGAGATCAGAGAAGGAGGAATTAAAGGCTGAGGAAAGCGGCTGTGGTCAGACCCTGGAGCAGCCCCTGCACACCCAGCTGGCCAAGTTCAACAGCATCCAAAGAGAAAAGGTGAACTTACACGTCCTTGTACTCCTTGAGGATCCTGTTGGTGTAAAACATGGCAGCATCAGTCATTTCCTTCACATAAGGACCAGGCTTTGGAGCCTAGAGCAGAAAGAACACGTTGGCACAGAGCAGCCCAGCAGGGAGCCAGACTCTCCCCAGCAGCCCAAAGAAAATCCCTTCCCACTGGAGTTCTTACCATGGCCACCCAGCCCAGGGCTGGAATGCTCTCACTGACTGCTGATAAGTGATTGAACAGTTTGCTACCACGGTTCTTCTCCCTGAAATTCTGCACAGCCTGGATCTGCTCCGAGATGGGTTTGAGCAGCTCTGAGAACGCGTTCTGCACAACGACACAGAGAGACAGCAACAATTAAGGACATTAATTAGCTGGAATGGCTGCACAGCTGAGGTGATGGTGATCAGAACAAGATTCCAACTGGCACCAGTGACTGCTCCAGCTCCTGTCCAGGCCTGGCCCTCTCCAAGGCAGGCTTGGTCCCACAGCCCAGCTCCTCCAGGGCTGAAGTCATTGCTCCCATCGGATCGGCGCAGTGGGAGAACGCCAAGAACTGTGACTCATGTTCAATCCAGGAGACACTGACAAAGCTTGTTAGTAACGAGGACAGAAATAGCATTTGCCTTTCCTGGGTTCTTTTGTTCCAACACAGTTTGTTAAATTTTTCCTCTCCTCCATGAACCCTCACAGAAAGGCACCAACAGCCTGCCCCACAACCAGAGTCCCACTAAGTTCAAAGGTCACCCCCATCAAGCCAGACTTCAGGATTCCAGTTATTTCTCAAGTCGATCCTTTAGTATCTGGATGGTAAAAATGTGTTCCTGTGTGCTGTTCCCTTGGAATGCTGACTGGAAGTGCCAGAAGTGCTCTGGGGTCAGAGCACAGCCAAGAGCCAGTTCCATGTTTCCAGAGATGCCTCTGAGGCAACTTTTCCTTCCTTTAGCATCGGAAAGTCTCCTGCTGGTGGCAGCAGAGAGAGACAAATTTGGGCAAAACTTGCTTTCCAAAGCCTCAGCTTCTGCTTTTGCTGCCCTTTCCTCTGTTTAGATGAAAACTGAGAGGTCCCAAGCACCGCTGGCCAGGCCACACTTTCAGAAGCTCCAGCCCAGCAGCACATTCCAGTCACAGGATGGGGAAATTCTTCAGCACAAGCACTGAGAGTTCACACATTTTGCATTTTAAACTGGCTGCTCCAGAATTAGACTCCTGCCAGACAACCTGCACAAAAAGCTACCCTACATTAAGGCTGTTCTTTGTTCATAATCCTTTATTTAAATAACGTGTCCGTGGGATTTGGAAGCAGATTCTCAGGCTAGAGGCTGCACAGAGCTGCATCCCAGCAAGCCTGGTGAAACATAACAATCAACCCTTCAACGCTGATTTTGGGGAAAAAGATGCAGATCTATTTTGCAGTGAATAGGAAAGGAGCACAGAAATCCAGCTCCCACAATGTAACAGTAGAAGCCACAACTGAGATAATAACTGCAAAGAAAAGCAAGGTGGGATCCTGTTGCTCTGGAAAAACAGTTCTCAGCAGGGAAAAGCCAATGCATTCAGGATCAGATTCTCAGCCACACATCCTGCTGAGAAGCAGCAGCCCAGGGTAAAGTGTTAAATTACCTGCTAAGGACAAATCAATCCTAAAAGCCCAGCGATTACTCAGAGGCCATTCAGTAGAGACAAGTGTCTGCTCTGCTCCTGGAGGAGTTTGATGCCTCAAAGTCTCTGGGCATCACATGATGAAAAGCAGGAGCTACACAAATCCCACGGTGGCTCCTGGCTCAGACAAGATGCTGTCTGCAGGTTCTCAGGGAACACTGATTGAGCAGAGCTGGTGCCAGGTGAAACTGGAGACAGAAGCTGTGAGCTGACACCCCGAGGCTGCTCTGACAGCTACACAGTTGTTGCTGTAACAACTGGGAAATGGCAGTTCTGCAGCTCCCAGAACCAACATCCAGGATTCTGCCCAATGTTGGGGAGCACCCAGAGCAGTTCATGTGTCCCCAGTCCTCCTCAAGTTCCTCTTTTGGCCCAGCTGTGACAGCCCAGGTTCCCCCAACACTCACAGCCACCCCTGACCCTGAGGACAAAAGTTTCTGGTCAGGGATTGCCCACACTCACCTCTGCTGGCTGCTGATGCTGAGATGCCACCACCAGAAGAGCCCTCTCACTCATCAAACCTGCATGGACCATCTCAGCCTAAGGACAGACACAAACATGAGCGAGATTCCCTTGTGCCACATGAACAAATCATCCCACCTGTGAGGAACCAGCCACAGTGACCTCAAACCACATTCCTGGAGAAACCCATCCCCAGAGGACCCTCACCAGGGAGACACAGCTCAGGGCTGGGGAGTTTTCAGGCCTCCTAGAGGCCTGCACCAAGGTCTGTACACAGCCAAGCACTTAAGGATTTCCAGGACAAGGTTTGATTCATCCTGTGTGTGTAGGTGGCAACCTGGAGGTTATCTGGGCATCTGCTCTGAATCCTCAGGGATTATAAAGATCCTGGGATACAGTGCTAGAGGAATGCAGATTCTGACAGCAAACTTGGCCCTTCCAGCCCTAAGGACAGGCAGAACCTCAGGAGCAGAGGGAGAACAGGAGTCCTTACGTGTTTCTGCACATCCCCACCGACTTCTTTGCTGATCTTGGTGTACTCGGCCACTGGCCCGGCCAGAAGGGCATCAAAAGCCTGCACGTACTGAGCCACTCCTGTGGAGAAAAACCAGAGCACAGGGATCACCAGGAGCATCCCACAGGCTGCCACAGCCCCAGGCTGCACCTCCCACCTGCAGGAGCTCAGCCCAGAGCTGAGGAAATGCTGCAGCCACAGAGTTTTTATCTTCACAGGGCAGGAACCGCATCCCCCGCGCCTGCACAGGAGCCACTGCTCCCCTTCCCTCCCCTCCCCAGCTCTCCCCGTGTGCCCCGTGCCAGCTCTGCACAGCTGCTGGCACTGCCCTGGCAGGTACTTTGGGCCTCACCTTTGGCAGAGCCATCTCCACACATGCCAGGGCCTTGGCACACGGTCTCCAGGCGCTCCACAGCCTTCTCCAGCCGCTCCACCAGCCTCTCCATGTCTGCTGCTGTCCACAACCTGCACACACAGGAGACAATTACCTCCGTCCTCACATGCCACTGAGGGTTTATGGCTGTCTGCTACAAGCTCTACCAGTCCAAGGAGAATCATTCCTGGCCAGCAATGCACCCTGACATTAGCAAAGACAGCTGGGTTACACAACAGCCTCTTGCTGTTGCCACACTCGCTCCTTAAGAGTTTCTATTTCATTTCAAGTACTCCTTACATATGTAAGGACATAAAACTTCCACGTTCTAACCTCACAGTGACACCACTCAGTGACACAAAGGTTGTCTGCCCAGGTTCTCACTGCGGTCAGCTCCTGGCCAAAGTCCCAGCTGTGACCACACAGCTCAACTGCTTTGCTGGGAGCTCACATGCTCCAGGTGAAAACTACTGGGTTTGAATCTCCAAATGCATCTGGAAGGACCTCCTGGAGTCCTGAATTGCTCCCAGAGGCATCTGTAAGCCCAGCATCACTCCAGCACAGAGCCTGAGCCACCCTGGCACACGCCAAGGGGAGCAGCTGCAGGAGCTGAGGCGGCAGAGCTGCTTCTGCAACAACGCGCCCCTGTTCTTCCTCTGCAGCTCTGCAGAGCCTCCTCTGCAGCCACTGCACAGGAAAGAGGCTCAGGCACGCAAGCCATTTGCTGCATCTCATCTGGAAAAAGTCTTAAAAGTCACATAAACTTTCCATTAATTACTGCTTTGCACCAAGCAACAAGACAGGTCATGCTCCCAGCACAGTAATGCCCAGGGAATGCAGGGAGAGAGCAGCAAAGTCACCAATGGCATTTTTATCTTATCACCACTCATCAAAAGATTTTACAGCATGAATCACGATGGTGGCCTGGACACAGCTTCCTTGTGAAGTGATTGCTGCAGCCTGCAAGAAGCTCAAAGCCCTTCCTGGAGGAGGGGGTCCTTCCCAAAGCATTCCCTAGAATGCTCAAGGAGGAAGGCAGGGTTTACTCAGCTGAACTCACACTGGATCCCCTCTGAGAGGAAACCTCAAGTTCTCACTCGAGTTTTGCTTTTGTTCACAAGCCCTCTCAGCCCGGCTTCAAAGTCCACGTTTTCACCTAATTTCCAGAGGATGTGGGGCAGATCCAGCATTAGTCATGAGCCCAGCACTGATGTCACAAGACAAACAAGGCCGTTTTCCACCCCTCTTGTGCCCGTGCTTGCATCAGGAGAGGCAGCTCTGCTGTGGGGGGCAGGGGAGAGGTCACCCCCCCTTTCCAAGAGGAAGAGAAGTGGTTTCCTCCTCTGTCCACAGAGCCAGAGGACAGACTGTGCACAAAACTGGACAGCAGCGACTGGATGGCTTCCAGACAAACACAAAAAAACCCCAAACCCCAGAGTCCAGAGAAGCTGAAACTCCCCAGCAGCCACTCCTGTCATCAGAGTAATGAGCAGCTCTGCTTCTTTAATTGTGAGTGATGAGAATCCCCGAGCAGGATCCTCCGTTCCCTGCTGCACCCGCAGCTCCCCTGGGAGCACGGCCAAGGCGAGCCGGGCTCTGCCTCCCCCGCTGCCAAAGTGTGGCTTCTTCCCCCCAAAAAACCACCTGTTATAGAAGCTGTGCCATGCCAGAGAGGGATGTGGCACAGGGAAGGGCACGGGGCACACAAAGCCGCGGTTCTGCACCGTTGATCTCCCCCCACCACATTCCAGGCGAGGCTCTAATCTGATCAGCCCCATTACCCAGTGGCAAACTGCAGCTCGGATCAGGATTACCAACCACAAAGTCCAGATGGAAAAGCTGCTTCCTACCCCCAGCAGCAAAGCACGCTCGTCTCTGGGTGGGATTTATGTCCTAAAAATCACAGCGTTCCCTGGGATTCACATTCCTTCCTCTCTCCCTGCCATTTGACAAAGTCCTTCCTTGTTTTTCCTGAGCCATGAACTCCCAGTGCTCGATACCAGCTCTGCAAACCTGGTGCTGTCAGGCAGATGGTGAACTCATTTTAATTTCCTTTTAATGGGTGGCATTAGGGCAACTTAAAAGATAAGTCAGTCGGTAAATTGGCAGCAAAATGAGAGCTAAGTGCAGGCAACCCGAAGTCCTGGATATCAGTCCCTCCTCTTGACTCACCCTCCCTGTGCTCTTTGCCCTGTGGATGCAGCTATTTCTGCTGCCTCGATACCCACACCAAATGAAATAAAAAGATTGAGCTGTAATTAAATCAGAGTTCACAACCCAGAGATTAACATTCAGCAAGGAAAATAAAAACAACCCCACAGCGCACTAGGCAGTGTTTTGTCTACCGGCCTGTTTGAATGTCAAATAATTCGACAAAAATTGACTTCACAAGTCTCAGTGCAAACAATCAAATCTCAATTCCCTACTCTGAAGAGGAAGAGGAGACACACAGACCATCCTGGAGTCATTTTTGTTCTACAGACCATCCTGGAGGTATTTTTGTTCTAGAGACCATCCTGGAGGTATTTTTGCTCTGCACATCACCCTGTGCTCCAGAGGGATGAGGGAAACTTTTCCAGCTCCCTGTGCAGGGTTGGAGTTCTCTGACAGGGTGGAGATGCAGCTCTCCCTTCCAGGACCACAACACAGGATTTAAATCCAAATTCAATTGAACTTTGATTAGCAGTGGAGCGGAAGCAGCAAACACTCATTTCACCCACGGCCAGAGGGGCCATTCCTTTTCACAGCACATTTGTTCATCTATCAACTGCCCTTTATTCCCATCTCAGCCTGGGAACACAGCTCTGGACACACTGTGCCACAAGCAGAACAGAGCAATAAAAGGAAGGGATTTTATTGGTAAAAATATCAGTTACCCCAAACCCTGCACAGCACAGCAAAAGGAGCTTCCTGTTTGGGAACTTCGAGGAGCTGGCCTGTCCCAACCTCAGAGTGAGCAAATTCTCAGAAAACCACCAAAAATGAAATTATTTGCTTGCCTGAGACAGCACATTAACCTGAGGCTTTCCTTAGACATTCTGGAAGACACAAATGCTGGTTTTATAGCCATAGCAAGTCAAACCTACGCTTCTGCTCACACCGAGCCCGACAAACTGCTGTCAGCACCACGAAATTTGCATCAGCTACTTCCTGTTTCTACAGGCAAAAGAAATAAAGATGGGACAACTAAATTAGGAACATACCACAGTTTATTTCTGAGCTGACACTGGAATATCTCAGGGGATCAGCTACCAGATGATTTCCAACATTTTTATCTGCCAAAAGCCCGAAGAATTTTTTTTTTCTTTTTTAAACAGTTCAGCTCGTCAAGGCAGGAATTATTTGAAGCAAGGCAGGAGTCAAATGGCTGAATTTAGCCAGTGGTCAGGAGCAGCCATGAACACAAGACAGCTATTGCTGGTCCCAGCAGCTGCCAGGACAGAGATCTCAGCTGTTTATAGTCCAACAATACTTGCTGACATTGCGCCAGAACCCGTGCTGGCTGCTCCTGCTATTTCAGATCCACTTTATTTAGAAAACCAAGAGTGCTTTAAAAAAAAAAAAAAAAAATCCATCTGGCCCCTATTCCAGCTTTCCCATACAACAAATCCTCCTGAAGCCATTAAAAATGTTATTTGGTGTTTTATTCACACGTTAAGAGGGGGTTAAAGCTTGGCACTGGAGCAAAGGCTCCTTTTTCAGCACAATTATCTGAATTAGGAGCTTTTCTCTTGCCAGCCTCAGTTGCCACACTCCTCTCACTTCCTTTCCCTGTCAGGGTGATGAATCCACCAGGGAGGTAACCAAGGATGTGGGATCTGAGCTAAACTGGATGCAGCACTGAGCTCCATATCACAAATTCCGAGCATGGAAGCTGCTCAGCATCCCTGCTCCAGCACGGGCCGCTTGGCTGAACTTTCTGCATGAATAATAGGGGGTATTTTTGGCTTTCAGAAAGCTCAGCAATATTCCAGGGACGCAAGGATGGGCTCTGGAAGGGAACAGGCACACACAGCACTGTCTTGATGCCACGGGTTTCTGTTTTTTTTTTTTTCAGGCATCTGCAGCTCAGGTCTGGGGGAATTCCAGAACCCGATGTGCAAAACAACCCTGCAATTATTATTTTTCCACTTCGCTATCACGAAATCCAATGGAATCACACATTTATCCCATCCCAACCACCCGCAGAACGCAGAGGAGGAACCAGCAACAGGCTGAGGACGGGAACCACCCCGGGGAGATGGAGACGGAACCCGGGGTGTGCAGCACAAAAACCCTCGCTCCAGGCTGCGGCGAACCGGGGAAAATCCGGATCAGCCACCGGGCAACCCCTGCCTGTCCCGGTGAGTCGGTGCAGCCTCGGTAACCGAGCCCCGCGGTAACCGAGCCCCCGGCAACCGAGCCCCGCGGGGGTGTTTGCAGTTCTGTGCCCGAATTAACCCCAAACCACCGCGTTTAGGGCATCTCAACCGGGCCGGGGCTTCTCCCGCCTCCCGGTCCGAGGGGAGCAGTGTTCCTTCGCTCCCCGGTGCTGCTGCCGCGGCTGGGCCGTGTCCCCCGCCCGGTGCCCGGTCCTGATCCCGGTCCCCGCTCACTCTCGCCGGTGCCACCCCCAGATCTGGCCGTATCCCAGTGCCGGTCCCTGCTCACCTCCGCGATCAGACCCGACCGTGCCCCGCTCACTCCCACCCTGCGATCCGGCCGTGCCCGGTGCCGATCCCCGCTCACCCCCACGCTCAGACCCGGCCGTGCCCGGTGCCGGTACCGCTCACTCCCACCCGTAGATCCTCAGGCCTGGCCGTTACCGGTGCCGGTCCCCGCTCACCGCCCCCTCCCCCAGACCCTCAGGCCCGGCCGTGCCCGCTGCCGGTGCCGCTCACCCCGCGCCGCTCCCGCTCCGCCGCTCCCGGCGCCGCCCAGCCCCGCCGCGCCCGCCGCTTCCGGCCCCCGCCCCGCGCGCCGGATGTGCGCACGGTGCGCGCGGCGCGGCGCTGCGGGGGGGCGGGGCTTCGGGAAATCCGCCTCGCGATTGGTGGACAGGAACGAGGGCGTGACCAGAATATGTGAGGGGTGCGGTGAATGGGCGGGGCTCCGGGGCCGATGCCGCTCTGCGATTGGCGGATGGAATGAGAGGCGTGGCCTGAGGGTGCGAGGGGCGTGGTCGGGGCGGGGTCCCGTGTGTGGGCGGGGCCAAGGGGCCGGATGGGGCCCGGGACCCTCGGGGGGAATCGCGACCCCCGGAGGGGCTGGGGGGGCTCCGGGACCCGCGTGGGGTCACACAGAGGGGCTGGGGGGTTTGAGAGCCCCAGCAGAGCCAGCTGGGACCTTCCCCAGGGAAGGGCTGTTGATCCCCCAGGAGGGGCTGTTGGGGTAGTGGGGGTCCTCAAGAGGTTTAGGATCCTCCGAAAGGGGTTTGGGGCGCTTTGGGATGAAGCGAGAGCCTCTGGGAGAGGGGTAAGGCTGAAGGTTGGGGTCTAGAGATGGGGCTGGAGATGTGCTGTGGGCCGCCAGGGTGGGGTTAGGGGGGATGAGACCCCCTTGG